ATGTAGCTTGGCTTGGTGGTTTGACGATGGGATTGGCCGCCCAAAGTGCGGGGGGGCAACACCTATGACGTATTTTCGGTTCATGCCAGCAAAAGCATGACCTTTGAGATCCGTTTTTGCACTCTAAGAAAGATTGTGTCTATGACGCGTTGGGGCCCTAAAATTGGTTTTGGCATCTGTAAAAGTAAGGTCTCCGAGACCTGTTTTTGTTTTCTTGGGATGTCACGCTGGTTTAAACTTATCGCCACTGGGTCGCGCAAGCGGCCCGATTCAAAGGGTATAGCCGGATCGCCATCACCATCGCCCATGTGTGCCCGTGCTACTCGTGCTTGCTGCGGTCTGCTCGCATTGCCTTTGTTTCGTGTCGGTCATTGCGCAGGTTATACGAGCATGCAGCATACTGCCTTTACACTTCCTACGCTCCAAATAGTCTTCAAAGAAGATGACATCAAGAAAGCGGAAATCACTTTCGCTGCAAGAGAAGTTGAACATTCTCCGTGTTGTGAAAGAGAACCCGACGTGGAAGAAGGTGTGCATAGCGAAGGAGTTAGGACTAACGCCTTGCACCTTGGACTCTATCGTTGCAAAACGGATCAAAATTGAAGAAAATGCTTGAATTTTCGACGTCAAGTGCAAGCAAGCCAGGAGTTCGGAGCACGTGCAGCTTGACAAGGCCGTTTTCGAATGGTTTAAACAAGCCAGGGCCGCAGGAGTTAACTTCGCTGGTACCATTCTGCGAAAGAAGGCACTCGAGATCGCCTACAAGCTCGGTATTGACAGTTTTTGTGCATCTAACGGTTGGATCGACCGTTTCAAAAACAGACACGGATTATGCTACCGCACTGTCAACGGAGAGGCTGCAAGCGTGGACACGAAGACTGTTGAGGCCTGGAAAGAGACGGTGGTGTGTATCATAAAGAACTACGAGCTGAGAGACATATTCAATGCCGATAAAGCAGGCCTTTTTTTTTCAAGGTACAGCCCTCTAAGACGCTGAGCCTAAAAGGCGAGGCTTGCCACGGTGGAAAATGCAGCAAGGAACGACTAACGGTGCTGCTGTGCTGCAACTCTGATGGTTCAGAAATGATGAAACCGTGGGTGATAGGAAAGTTTCGAAACCCACGCTGCCTTAAAAATATCTTTCACCTGCGCTGCCACTACAATAATAATACCAAGGCATGGATGACGTGTTCACTTTTTGAGGAGTTCTCGAGATACATGGACTCTAAGATGGGCTGCCAGAACAGAAAAGTCGTTCTTTTTCTCGACAACTGCTCCGCACATCCCAAGTACACTGCGTCGCTGCGGAACGTAAAGGTAGTTTTTCTTCCTGCCAACACCACAAGCCACCTTCAGCCCTTGGACGCTGGAATAATAAAAAATGCAAAGCACTTCTACCGCAAGTGCATTGTAAAGCGGTCCCTGGCCAGCGTGGAGCGTGGGCAGCAGCCGGCAGGCGTCACCATCTTAGATGCCATGCATTATTTAGCATCGGCGTGGAGCGCCGCCACTGCTGCTACAGTTGAACACTGCTTCAACAAGTGTTTCGGTGTGCGCACAGATGACACAACAGAAGATGTTGGAGACGGTGCGTTCGCAGACTGCGACGAACTGAACACTGCCATGGAGACTGTTGGTGCCAGTGGAATCGCGTACAGTGACTACGCTTCTGTTGACGACGCCGTTGTCATCTCCACAATGTTATCCGTCGACGACATTATGGCTGAGTGCACCGATACGTGTGCCAGGGACGAGGAAGTTAAAGAGGAGGTGGAGCGGATACCGCAGCCAACTTCCTCATCGGCCGTAGCGGCACTGGATTTATTGCGAAGATATGTGCGCACCAGTGACGATGGCGAGAGCCACATGGCACTACAGGTGCTTGAAAAACGCCTTGTGCTTGTCAGGCGTGAGAAGATGCGCCAGGCAATGCTGCATGATTTTTTCAAGCAAAAGAATTAAAATAAAACTATGTGCAATTCACCACTCTTATTTCGCAATTTTTCACCTTTCTCGGCTCTTGCGTTTCCCGGCTCCTACGTTTTTTTTTTTTTTACGGTCCCATGAAAAACGTATCAGCGGGGTTCTACTGTAATAAGTTCAAGGGCTTTAATCCATGGTTGTATCTTGCTGTGGAGTTGTTAGCTTTTTTAATATCAATAATGGCACACATCTTGAACACTGTGGTAAATGAGGGCCAAAACTTTTTTTTTTTTAGACCAGGAGTGCTTGTACAATAAAGCACAATGACGAATCACAGCCGTGGCAGTTGGCTCAGCCTGAGCACTGGTTTAATGGAGCCAGCAGTGCTGTGCTGGACCGACGGCCACAAATCTCCAAATGGCTGCCCTGTATAACAGTTCTTTGTCTGCGGTTGTCGGCTAGAGTAGCCACTGGTATAGCAGTAGGTCCATGGCATGTGCAGAGACACAGGGATGCAACAGCTGCGCATATGGCACCAATTTGATACAAGTTTCCATTTTTGTGCTGAGCTGCGCCAAAACAATAAAATTCGCTGAAATTGTGCCACGCTGGGCCGAAATGCCCGACCAACCTCTAAATTTTCTTAGTTGTGCTAATTTCAGCTAGAAATGTTAGCCACCTGTAGTTTGCGTCGTGAATCAATCCAGACATTCAGGCGTGCCGACCCTAACCCAGGGTGAACTTTAATATACTCATTTGGTTAGGACACTCGCGAGCAAACAGATAAAGTAACGATGCCACACTGCCGCTGATATTGGTTCGCGGACCGCATCGGATCTCTATCGATGGGACGACGCAACTTTAAGACAAAATGCATTGCCCCAGCCACCAACACTTCGCAGGAAATATGAATTACTTGGTCAGAAAACGCACCTATGACATGTTTGGAACTAAATCTGAAAGCGTACGGCGCTTTTACTGCACGGTGCTGCGAAAGATGGCGGTACCGGCGACCGCAGTCGAAACACGTGAAGTGTTTCTCACCTAATACTGTACTGGTATTTCTATAAATCGATAATGCATACTTTTGAGCGCTAAACAAAATTGTTTGTTTTGAAATGTTGTAAAAAATTATGCATTATATCTTGATGCCAACTCTAGAAGACACTGGCAGAGGAATGCGTACCCTGGTGGTTAAATTTCTCTAGGTCTCAATTGTACTTCATGTGCACGAAAACTTTTTGCAACAAGATGTCAGTACAATAGAATGAAGCAAGTTTTAATTGGATACAACTTAATATCATTTTGTTTTACACTCAGCAAACAAGTGTCGGGAATCTCAAGAACATGATTCATGCGAAGCAGATTCGAAACCTGTACTTCCCATAATTCCCATCAGGGTACAAGCGCTGCTGAAGGAGCCCACGTAGGTACTAGGGCCAGGTTCGCCTCTAGGTATTATTATATGAAACTCTATGCTTCAGACAGTCTATGGAACTTGGAGGCCTATAAGATCGCATGGCACAAGGTTTCCCTAAATTGCACTGCAGGCAATGGTGTCTCGGACTTGCTTGCACTGTTCACACAGCCCATACTTACATTAGCTGGAACCATAAATAACGACAGAAAAACCGGAACGCTTCATGCCTATGTGTGCTAACCACTATGTGTGACATCATTGGTCATGAGTCATTGCGCTGATGGCAGCCAAGCTATCAGTGGCTACAGTAAACTAGTTTATTTTTTACTCATCACGCATAAATTTCGTAGGCACTATGTATGATCGCGTCGACAGCACCCGCTGTTTCGTTTACAGCTGTTGTGACAAACAGCAGTTTTTTTTTCTCCGGCTTTCAGAATTACTTGTGTGCTACAACACTGCATGGATCGCGTCTCTAGTGATCCTGGTTTTGTCTGCCACAGATGCAGTACGACACCTAAATTTCTGTCTGCGCACACAGGCCTTTATAACTGCATGGATGCTGTCTGTGATTCAGATGTCGGCCACCATGGTTTCTTCTGTTTCTTAGGTTTTCTTGGTGCAAGTGTGCACACTGTCACGAAACTCAGACATGGCGACAGGCTTTGAAATGGCATAAAGCAGTCATGGGAGCGTTACCAGAAAAGCGACAATGTTGCAGCCAAAGTTACTGTGCATAAGTAACGGGATTACCTTTTCTTTTAGTAAAGTTACTTGGTTATTACAAGTTACTGAAAAAAAGTGACTAGATATTGGTAACGCGTTACTACGGTAACTTGTTAGTGTTCATGACTGCTATGAACTGTTAAGGAGCATTTCAGTTGTATAGTAGTTAAATGTGCCTGCTACGTCGCAATGGATGACCAAACTGTTGCTGACGCTGTGATGAAAAAATTATCATTATGCGCTTATGGTAATATTGGCGGTGATGGTACGTGACAAGAGAGGGGTTCAGAGCATGTTTCCGATAAACAAAGACTTGGGGGGGGGGGGGGAAGTCTTGTGCCACACCTGCATCATAAAGGAAGTGGCAGAAGGAGGAAAATCGCAGCTTTCCTGCTGCTCTTGTTCAAAATAAGAAGGGAATTCGCCTACTTGTACAGAAAGTGCTAGTGTGCTGGAGTAATAAATCATGCGGTTGTTTATTGTTTTCTTACACTGTCGATAATTCAACATTTGGTTAATGCTGACATTTTTCGCTGTCCTGTAATGTCTGAGTGGATTAGGTTTTAGCGTGCTTGTCAGGTTTGCTTGCTCTCTGTTGCTTTGTTATGTAGTTGGCATGATATTGCAAAGAAAAGACCAAGCTGTTTTTGTCTCTTTTTCACATGTACTCTAGTTGTAATTTTTCAGGACAATACAGTGCAGTAATATTTGGTTTACATGTATGCTACAGCTTTGAGTCAAATTAGAAAAGTTTTTGACAGTAATGAAGTAAGTGGGAGGTCTCTTTTAATCTTTCAGGCCTTATTGACGACTAGGGCTCACTTTTTTTTCAGCGTGCGTGACCACACTTAGCCCGCAACTGGAGTTATCCCTACTGTCTACTTGTTCTGTCAAGAATGTACTAGCATGGTGTGCCTCTCTGTGTGCACAGGCTGTTTGACTGGCGGCCAGAGAAGCTGCGGGGCATGCGAGACAAGCACGAGTGCACCGTGGTGCTCAAGAACATGTTTGACACAAAGGAGTTCGAGGTAAGTTCACATTGGGACTCACGCTGTTCACTGGGCTTTGAGTGCTTGGCATTTGTAGCATGTTGCTGGGCATTGCTGTTCCACTTTATTGCCTATATAGTAACTGTGAAAGCACAACTATAGCCAAGAGGGGACACTGACTAGTGCTAACTTTGAACTGAATTTTATTGCGAAAGAAATCGAGGTATATACACAGGCCGTGCTTACATAGACTAACAAAAAAAGCAGGCATCTGTCTAAACAAGCAAGAACAGAAAAAGCTAGCACATTTTTATACATGGCAAGTGAAAAATATATATATTTAAGAATGGTCATCACATGCGCGAGCCTGCAGTATCCAAAGATGTAAACGCTTTATCACACAATTAAATGGACAGCTCGCTTATGTAGGAGCATCCAACCTCATCTGAGCCGCTTGTACAATTATGAAGGTGAGATCGTCTTTGTACCGGTATGAAACTGATGTGTTCTTGAACTCAAAACGATTGCCTCACGGATCACAATGAAGTGCCGGAAAACCGTCGTTTTTGTTTTGGACGTTATTTGCATGCTCACGCATCTGGTCATTGAAGCACCTGCCAGCCTGTCATAGCAGGTACCACATGACACAGAAATTCTCTACACAATCCTGCACACATGTTACACGAAACGGTTGCAGTGCTTAACATTGAACTCAACTTATCATCTTGTAACAAGGCTAGTTGTTGTGCAAAAGTGCAATGAGCTTTTGCGGAGCCGAAAAAAATGACACGACTGCTGACGTGCTGACCGACTGGCTTTGTGAGCGTGCAAGTAAAATGTGGAACAGAATAGATAGTTTTCTGGTGATCGCCTCAAGTTCAATAACTCAAGAGTTTTATACCAGCACAAAAACTACTGCACCCGCACACTAATTGTAGAAGCGACTCAGATGAGGTGGAGGGATGCTCGTGCATGAGCAGGCCATCCGTTTCAGTGTGTGATGCAGAGTTTGCGTTTTTGGATGATGCGGCTTCGTGCATGTGGTGGCCACTCCTGTTTTTTTTTTTTCTCTTTTTTGCCTTAGCCATGGGCAAACATATGCTTGCTTATTTGGCCTTTGCTTGTTGACATGCATGCCTATTTTTTCTGTTAGTTACTGCAAACACTGCCTGCAAATATCTTGCTTTGTTTCACAATAAAGCTCAGCTTTATTTGTTGTGTTTCTGCGCTATTGCGTTGAAGATAATGCAGCAGCAATTGGCCCGATGTGCCAACCGTATCCTTTATTTTGCTTGTTTTCATCAAGGTATCACTGTTTCAGTGGTCTGACAAGTAGCTATTAGCACGAGATGAGCTCATTCAGGTGAACCCACGTCTAACGACACCATTTCAGCAGTTCGTTAGACTTAACATTGAGCACCTGCTACACTTTGGCAATGCTAGCCACTACACCTATCTCAATACCCACATGCCGTGCACTCATAGCATCGGCTTGGTTATAAGCCTTTTTCTCACCACAGTCTCGCACGCTCTTTCAACCTTTTCCAGTGTTCATGCGGTAGGAAAAAAGATAGCATGGCCTTCCTTGCTTTACCTTGTTGGTAATCTGCGGCAGGTAAACTGGTGCTATAAGACAGGAAAGCTGTAGTATTCGGCTTTTGAGTAGACTGTCACTGCTTGTGCATTTTTCAAGCACATGGCTTGGCTGCTGTGGTTAGGGCATTATAATAGGCAAAGGTGTTGGCATGCTGTAGCTCATGATGTGAAATCATCTTTTGTATGTAAATGAGCTAACGCAGTCTACAGTCAAAACAAAAAGTGGAGATGCACTGATTACCTTGCCACTGTGGTAACCACGGCTCTATCAGTTTTGTTCTCTCTTTTTCCTTTTGTTTCTTTTTCAATTCATGTAGAACAATTATCAGCTATAATAATCCAATTATCATGGTACCTTAATTCAACTTGTAAGTTGTTTCGATCGCAGTATGGAAGAAATATTGAACATTGTTGCACATTTTACTGTAGGAGAGGCCTGTCTGATTGTACTGTGCATGTAGTCTGAATAGAAGTTGCATGGTGGGGTTTATTCAGCTTAGCTGTGTGGATTCACAGATAGGCAGGTTCAGTCGCCATAACTTTTCATGCTGCTGTCATTTAGGTTTGAATGTTACGTAGCTGCCTTTCTGGAAAAAAGTTTAGTGCACATAGAAATGAAGATTGATAAGCTCACAGTTCTGGAAATGGTATCGTCACTACAGTGTGGCTAATATTATTGTGTAAGATTATTCATAGTTGCATTAAGTTCTCTGTTAAGATTTCACAAATGCATGTGAACTTTAATGGCAAACATGAGTGAATTGTCACCCAAAATGTTTCTTTTTGATCATGTTGTGCTATTTCATCTTGGTGACTTGTTAAGGTTTCGCTTGTACCGATTGAAAATGCTGTAAGCCCGTGTACTCAAATTTGGGTGCACGTTCGAGAACCCCAGGTAATAAAAAATTTTCGGAGTCCCCCATCACGGCGTCTCTCATAATCATCTGATGTTTTTGTGACGTTAAACCCCACATATCAATCAATCAATCAATCAATCGCTTATACTGATCTGAGGCCGCCATGGTGGTGCAGTAGTCATAGTGATTGGCTGCTGAACCAAATGATGCAGGTTTGGCCTTGGCTGCGATAATCACATTTCGGTAATGTGAAAAGTTACAGACCAATTCTACTGCTGGATATCAGTGCATGTTAAAAAATACAGCCCAGCTGGTCAAAATCATTTGGAAAAGTCCACTACATCGTGCCTCATAATGATATAAATGGTGGTTTTGGCTCCGAAAATTGTGGAACGTTACTTGTATAAGTAATTGGACATCTCCTTCTCACAGTCATCTTATATAGTGACCAAGGCTGTGTATTGTAAATGTCAGTGTGACTTGTTTCATTCCTTGATTTCTAACCATGTGCTTAAGAATTCGGTCACTCAGTCAGTGCCTGGAAGCGACATTCGTAGTTGAGCATGGTGTTTTATGTCTTGTCCTCTGGCATATTGCAGAGTGACCCTACCTTGATTCTGGAGTACCAAAAGGACCTTCGTGAAGAGTGCGGCCAGTTCGGAGAGGTCAAGAAGGTGGTCGTATATGATGTAAGTAAACACGCGAGAACACTGTTTAGAAGTGCATTTGCTGCTGAAGCAGAGTGTTTTAGCATAAGGCACAAAGCTGCTTTGCCACCTCACCCTTCTTTTCGATGTAGCATTAGTCATATCTGGCCCTTCTTACTGCAGCTTCTGTATAATAATGATGCAGTAGAACACGTTTGAACCACAGAGAGTTGCCCCGCAGTGGTTGTTTAGTGGCTAAGGTTTAGTGGCTGCTGACCCGCATGTCGCGGGATCGAATCCAGGCTGCGGCGGCTGCATTTCCGATGGAGGCGGAAATGTTGTAGGCCTGTTTGCTCAGATTTGGGTGCACGCTAAAGAACCCCAGGTGGTCGAAATTTCCGGAGCCCTCCACAACGGCGTCTCTCATAATCATATGGTGGTTTTGGGACCCCACATACCAATCAACCACAGAGAGTGGTTGAAGAAGAGAGCTACAAAATTCAGTGAGCGACAAATTAAAAAAAAAATTTTCTCTCAATTGTGTTGCAGCTGCGCGCAAGTTTGGCTAAATGCCCTTTACAGTAAATGCTTGCTAATTCAACACCCATCAGTTCAAAAAATGAGATAACTTGGTTGCGGTTTCTGGTCCTGGCCAGCATATGCATTGCTCAGTGGCTATAAAGTCTTGTTAATTCGATCATATGAGGCCACAACCCAGTTAATTGTTATGATTCTCGGAGCATGCGGAACACGAAGCACTGCAAACGCAACTCAAATGAACGAGAGTGGCATTCATGAAGAAACATACCAAAGTGGCACAGTCTGCATCACCATCGTCATCAGCACGAACCGTATGATAACGGCAACGTTTCAAGTTATTTAAGAGGAAGTTTTGAGTCGTAAACAAAGTGGTGAGAGGCAAAAGTTGCGGCTTTTGCACCTCTCTTAAGCAAAATAATTACAGTCTGCTCTCATTACGACAGACCGTCATGATGCAGGAGAATGAGTTAATTTTATGTGAATTCGCAATATTCAAGCTTGGTGAGAAGGTGAAGGAGGCCGCGTTGCCCTGTGACAATTGTTTTTATGTCACTTAGCAGCATGAGACAGGCTAGTTTTGATACATGTTGAATGCATTCGACAGCATTTTCACACAGGACTTTAATCACCAGGCACGCTATGTGGCCCCTGCACAGCAGCAAAGCTCAGCCCAATAAAAAAGTGTTTTAACAGGCTTTTTCAGCCACTTCTGTTGATCAGCCTGGAACAAATTCGTTCTTATTTGTGCAGACAGGAATGTGGCTGCCCATGGGTCACTAGAAGCTGTTGCTTCGCACAGCCACCACGGCTTGCTGGACAGTACAAAATTGGTATGAGAGTTCTGAACTGGCTGCACTAAAGCACCTGTCACATTATTATTATTAGGATAGCAATTATATGGACACTCTCGGCTGGATTTTTCCCCGGTGTTTACGCCATTCAAGAAAGAAAAATAATCCAGAAAAAGACTTCTGTGTGCAGAATTGAACGTCCGACCACTGAATTGTGAGTGCTAGGCATTAACCACTGAGCCACAAAGGACCACCTCCTTCAACGTTCAAACGGCAAGCTATTTATATAGCTACCACTTACTGTTGCCGATGGCCATCTTGGTGGAACTGTAGTGTTTTCAGCACTACCAGCGAGATGGCGCCATGAGAACGTGTCGCCAGATTATCATGACACACCAATAGGCACTCTTATCTCCCACGCATCCGTTATCCCGTGGAGACAAGGGGGATGGACACTCACTCGCGCACCCTTATCTCGCGGTGGAGAGAATTGTATGCCTTGGGCTCTCACCGGAACGATTCTGTTGTACAGTCAGCTTCCGTTGATACGAAGTTTGCGGGAACCACGAAAAGCTTCTAATTAGACGAACTTCCGATTAAGTAAAGGGGACAAGAAACTTTATTGCTTTAAACCTGACAGTTCTGAAAGAAAGCAGTCTTTCATCATCTTTTGCCGAACCTGGCTGTGGCTAGAAAGTTTTCCAAGCACTACACATGTCGAAGTGCTTCTTCAACATTGTCTTCTTCAACAAAATATAAAAACCGCAGCACAAGAGAAAGACCAATAGCAACATTGGTAGTCCTCGTTGGCAGTTCCTTTCTATGCCGTCGTTCACTAGCCAAACCATCTGCACAATTTTTTTGTTCATTAGTGGTTCACATGTATTGACATGGCTGTCCACGGCAAGGACTTTTTCAAGACGGACATCGCTAAAAACGGCACCATAACTACCGTCACCAAGTTCACCTGTTCGCGCTTGATGAAATTCGAGAGAGGGTTAGGCTTGGTGGTCAGCTTCTTTCAAGATTTTCGACTTTCATCGCGACGTCAAGCATTCGTTAGGGGCCGTAAGTTTTCATTATCAAACGTCGCCACCACAACGTTCTGAATCAGCTGTGGAAACACTGCGGAATCAACTCACAGTGTGTTGGCGAACTAGTTGCTTTACCATGCTATATATTTGAAGAGTGCAACTGGACACGGACTGGCCAGAGCACGCAAACACACACATGGCGCTGTGTCTTTTCTGCCTGCATTCAGTCGTGCTTCTCTAACTTCAACAAGACTTCAACCCACCGCGTGGCTAAAGCACTCGACAAATCACAACTAAAGACCTAGTTAGCCGATGTGATCAATGCGATGCCCCAGCATTGATTAAACAAAATGGCAGCTTCATGAACCGTAGTGCTGCGGGCAGTGGCAATGCTGACAACAGCGCAGTCCAACAGTTGTCCTCGCGGTCTTGTCACATGAAAAATTACCACTTTATTAAAAGATTACGGCCATTTCGAGGTTCTCGACTGAGAAACGGTTTCTAGTTAACCAACATAATGGACTTTTATCTTTGAATTAACGAGCATTTTTTCCTATAGTTGTGCATGCAAAATTGATAGATCGACTTCTTGACTTCTAATTACCCAAAAATTTCAATTAGGCAACTTTGAATTAACAGGAGTCGATTATAGTTACCGTGCACACAAAGGGCACTGCACTCGTTGCACTGTCTCCGTTTGCAAAAAGGGCGCGCTTTTCAGACACAGAGAAGTAACAACTGAGATGCTTATTCACGTTCATCTGTACCTATGAGTGAGCCCCGCGAATGTTGATCTTTGCATGTCACAAGGAGAGTCGTGGTCTATGTCAAATTACAGAAAGTGATTGCACCTAAATACTCGGCAGAGCACGCACCCTTACATTAAAACCAAATCAAATTATTTTCTAGGCTATGCTCGCCACTAATAATCGGTCAGAAGTGGCCCCGCATTTAGCACTACCAATCAACACATGCATCTCGAATTTCGAAACTTAGTGTTAGGGGTCCTTTAACGCGTAGGTAGTAGTGCTGCAGGTAAGTGTGAGGAGCTTCGAAAAAGAAAACACTCTGAATTTTAAATAAAAAAATTGTTCTAAAAATAAGCTGTGCACTCACTAAGAGGCATTCTTCTTTTGTTTAGTATTGCTTTGTTTGAATCTGTGGTGTCTTTTAACTAGTGAAAACATGTACCCTATTGTTCACAAATGACGGCCACTTGCAAGATACCTTAATATTAGCCTTCTTGGTGAGTTTACATCTTTAAAGTGTAGACTACTTTAGGAGCCCGGCATGTTGTCTATCGAAGCATCTCATCTGATGTGATCACGCTCACAGTAAAGCACTCATTACAGGTCATAAGGTTAGCAGTGCTCAAAACTGAGTTGAAATGAGTGCATAAGGTATGAAATAACATATCTAACAACTAGCAAGAAGCGATGGCGAAAATTAACTGTAAATTGCTAAAAACATTTTGAAAACTTGAGCTTACTCTGAGGCCTCACCGTCTTGCCGTGCGGCACATAAAATCTTGGAAATTGTTGTTCTGAAATTGTGGGTAAACTTATCAAGAAGTTGTCATAAATTGTGATTTGAAATGACGAGTAATTTAACAAAGAAATTGTTACCATGCCTCTGTCACATGGCAGTGTGCACTCTCGTTTGTGTGTTAATTGATGACAGCTTGGAAAAAAATTTTGCCAAATGAAAGCAGACAGGCTTACTTTTGAACCTCATCATTTCGGGTACAAACAAGTATCATAGTAAGTTGATGTACTTTTCTTTCAAAGTACACTGTTCTAAGAAAGTCAGGTCAAAAACAATTTTAATCATGTGTTTCTCTGGTGCAACATAAGAAAATTTACTGACATAAAAAAACTTGGTAAACACTTTCCTAACACGGAGTTGAGAAGCTCCCATCCAATGCTCATCTTGTGTTTCAGCGGCATCCTGAGGGCGTCGCCACGGTGACCTTCAAGGAGCCTGAGGAGGCAGATGCCTGCATCGGCAGAATGAACGGCCGATGGTTTGCCCAGCGCCAGTTGTCGGCAGAGACCTGGGATGGTCGAACACGCTACAAGATTTTTGAAACGGAAGAGGAACTTGAGGAACGACTGAAAAAGTGGGACGACTTCTTAGAAGCCGATGACGACGAAAAAGCCAAAAGCAGCTCTTCAGACCCATCAGCCGTTCCATCGACGTCCGCGCCAAAGAGAGAGGCAGAAGACAGCATAGAGGCTGAAAATGGTGCCAGCGCACAAAAGAGGCCTAAGACAACAGAAGAAGCAGATTGAATGCACTTCAGATGGACTAGCTTAATTTTTTTTATTTGTACATATATTGAGGGTTGCTGTTTGGCTGTTAGTAAAGAAACGAGAGAGCACTTGTTTTCTTTTCTAGGTCAGACATGTTGACTATATAATGAGCATGCTCTGGCTTAAATGGTGGAAAAAGCTTGGTTTCTAGTGAGACTGAGCTATAAATACTGGTGATGTACATTTGCCAACAGCGGTTTTCTTTATACTCAGCAACAGTCTGTTAACATTGTTTACAAAGTGACAAGATTAGGACAAAAGCAGTTAGTATAGTTTCCTTGGTACCATAGCACCTGGTGATCTCATACATGGTGTTTGAGATTTGCACTGATTTGGTATGTTTAATCTTTCTATAGATATAGTTATCTCCTGAACACACTGTGACTTGGTGCATGTTGGAAGTCCTTGTACACTACTCCGGATCCAAACAGGACATCAAATTTTTAGTGTAACGACTGGTATGAGCAATTGTTTAAGCTAACCCCTTCATGTTGCGGCAACTTTGGTCTTATAACATAATTTTGGCTGTAATTCACGTTTCTAGTCAAAATTACGCCTCTGTGCTGTGAACGGAAGACGGTGGAAATAAAAGTAGTATGTGCGTTCAGCATCATCATCACCAGACTATGCCCACTGCAGAACAAAGGCCCCCCCCCCCCCCCACGTTGCGTCAGTCAACTCGATCCTGTGCTTGCTGCTGGCTCTTTATACCCGCAAACTTCTTAATCTCATCTGCCCACCTAACTTCCTGTTTCCCCCTAGCCCGCTCTCCTTCTTTTGGAATCCAGTCTGTGATCCTTCATGACCAGCCTTCTTGCCTTCGCACTAGGTGCCCTGCCCATGACTATTTTTTTTGTTGATTTCGAATATGATGTCCTTAACACTCCGTTTGTTTCCTGATCCACTCTGCTCTCTTCTTGTCTTTTAAGGTTACACCTACCATTTTCCTTTCCATCGCTCATTGTGTTGTCCTGAATTTAAGCTGAACCATCTTTGTAGTCTCCAGGTTTCTGCTCCCTAGCTAAGTACCAGCAAAATGTAGCAGTTATACCGTATTTACTCGCATAATAGGCGCACTTTTTTTTTCAGAAAATCCGGCTCGAAGTTAGGGGTGCGCCAATTACGCGGGGTAAAATTTTCGAAAATTTTTTCAACTCGGTTCTCGCGCTTTAAATATGCACACTTGTCAAGTAAAAAGGCGACTTTATCGTTTACCAATTAATTCAGCATAAAACAAACATACCTACGTATCTTTTAATGAACAAGCGAGAGCCGTCAACTGCACACACACACGTAAAATTTATTTACACAAAAGTCGTAGCTGTTCCTCCTTTTCCCTATTCGGAGTCTGAGTCGGAGATCACACATTCATCCTCGCCGAGCGGGGATTCGTTTTCGGTGTCCGAATCATCCGCACCCCACAACATGTCATCCTCACTCGCATCCAGTGCGTTCGAGATACCCGTCTTCTTGAAGCTTTTCCTGACGACTTCGTCGGAGATCGCCTGCCACGCTTCCACGATCCAAGCGCACAGCATTTCCACAGGCGGCCTCTTAATCTTACCCCCTGTAGTCAGCTGATGTTGTCCTCCAGCCATCCAGGTGGTGTACAGCCTTCGAACATTGTCCTTGAAAGGTTTATTCAAGGACACGTCCAAAGGCTGCAGTATCGATGTGAGGCCGCCCGGAATCACTGCCAGATCTGTGCGCAGCTCCTTTAGCTCATTTCGTACGCGGTCTACTAGGTGCCCACGAAAATTGTCCAGGACAAGCATGGACGGCAACAACAGACCACCCGGCCGCCGACCCCAGACTGTTTTCACCCAATCCACCATGAGTTCCGCGCTCATCCAGCCTTTTTCCTGGAGTCTGACGTAGATGCCTTGAGGGAATTTTGCCTTTGGGAGCGTCTTACGTTTAAAAATAACGTAAGGCGGTAGCTTACGCCCATCCGCTGTCACCGCCAGCATTACAGTGCATCGTTGTTTATCAGCGCCAGACGTTCTGACGATGACGCTCCGTGCACCTTTCTCCTCCACTGTCGTGTTCCACGGCATATCAAAGCAAAGGGGGGTCTATCAGCATTGCCGATCTGGGACAAAATGAAGTCTTTCTGCTGTCAGAGCTTTAAAACAAAACTGTGGAAGTCCACCACTTTGTCCTCATATGCTGCGGGCAAGCGCTGGCACAAGGTGGTCCGCCTTCGCAGGTGGTCCGCCTCGTTTCATGGCGCCGCATGAAACGAGTTGTTCATCCGGAGCTGGCTTTGAACTCTTTTGCTTCGATGCCCTGCGCTCGGGCTATTCTGCGCGCCTCAGTCTGCACGATATCCAACGACACAGCACAGCCGTCTTGTCGTAGCTCCCGTACATGCCGGACCAGTTGCTCTTCGACGTTCGGATACCTGCCGGTCTTGGCACCGCGGAAAGCCCGTCGTGTCTTCTTCGTCGCCTTAAGTTTTTCTTCTTGGTCCCTCCAGTACCGAATACTGGTTTCTCCAACGCCGAAATGCCTGCTTGCAGCCCGGTTGCCGTGCTCCAGCGCGTACTGCACTGCCTTCAGTTTAAACCCAGCCGTGTAGCTCGCGTACTTCCCCATGGTGGAACCAAAGTTCAATACACGACCACAACATACGCACACCGCTTGCAAAATGACCTTTCTTTCTTTTTCTCTGATGGTGGTGATGGCGATCGAGCCCCCGGCGTTGTACACGTGACCTCCAAAAAGCGCGGCGATTTTTTTTTTTTCGCTCATGGACGCTTTTTTTTTCAAGTTTTGTTTCGACAAACACGTTGGTTAGGTCGTTGCACTTCGAATTTTTTTTATTTGCTCGTCGATTTGCCTTCTTTTTTTCTTCAGGGTATGGGGACCGCGTTCCAACTGTACCGCTGGGGGGTAGAATCGTTTCTGATCACGGCCAAGTTCGGGGTGCGCCTATTATGCGCGCAATTAAAAAAAAAATCGAATTTTTTTTAAACAAAAATCGAAAAAATCGAAAATCGAACCAGCTAGTTGGTCCCCAGCCAGCGAAGTGCGGGCGGGCGACGTGAGGACATCCGGTGTATCGACACCCATCCACCTAGATTAGAGTCCGCGACACGGCTGTCTCGCTGCATGGCTTAGTCATCTTGCAATAATGGTTTGGGCTTGCAGCCAAAATGGCGCCACCATCGTGTGCGTTCGCGCCGTTCGCAGAACATCGTATCGAGGCCGGTCCTTTCGTCTCACTCTCTCAGACCAAGAGGTCGAGTGCTTGAATAAGAGAGCGAGAGGAGAGGACAGCGACATGTGTTTTAGTCGGTCCAACAAACGGACTGGATTGTTTTGGCTGTGAAGAGAATTGGGAGGGGCAACCGAGAGGTTAAAACCTGGCCCCCGACTCCTCGCGGGCGTTCTAATCGCAGCAAACAGTGCTCTGTACTATCGGCTCTGCCGAGGCAACATGCGATGGTCCCAACGGTGAAAGAGTCTTGTAAATATGTACATAAGTTCCTGTACATAAAGTCGAGTTGTTGAATGTATCGAGAGGCGCTGGTCTCCATTCCTGAACAAGCAGCAGCAGCCACGACAAGACAAGACGGACACCATGCAACCAACCTTCCACTCCCTTCTATAGCAACAGCTGCTACGCAGCTGAGAGAGCTCTGCTCAAGGGAACAGAGGGAGTGAGTAGAAGGTTGAGTTTCACTCTGCGCATATCTCTCTCGAATCAAGTTCTTTTTTGTTATCCATGAAGGCTATGTATAGTGATTGGATGTGTTCGGAACATTTCTGTATCCCCTGATCGATAATATGATTGTGTTCGATTGTGGAGTAGTGTTGCGATTGGGGTTTTCAGGCACTGGAGGTCCGGGATGAAGTTGTCAAGGCAGGAGGAAGAGAGAATTGAAGAGGGTTTATTTACATTATATACAAGGTGCACGCTTTCGTACATGACGAGCTCTTTCTTACATGGCGAGCTCTCGAATCTGGTGTTCCTCTACATGGCGCTCCTTCCAATGAGCCGGGTGGCTCATTATAAAAGGTATCTGCTCCCCAGATCCCTAGATCAAGGAACTCGTGCAGATGGTACTGACTGCCAATCACAGATCACACACAACTGGCGAGAGCGAAGAGCATGCATAGCCCACGTGAACGTCCAATATTTAGGCGTGACTCTGCAGTCCAAGGTGGCGCCAGTGGGGCTCTTCCTCGTCGTGTGTGTTTCGCTGGTCGAAGGGTCCCAAACTCATGACAGCATACTTCAAAGGGTCCGCCGAACTGCTCGCTTAATTAGCGGGGTGATTTGCGGCGGTCGTCGCGGTCTCTTCCAAGGAAGATGCTGTATTTGTTGTCCTCTCTCGAACGGCTTACAGTGTCGTGGTGACACGACATCTCACCCTCCGGCCAGGAGGGACAATGCCTGGAGCTCATAGGCAGCCGGCCGGTCGGCTACTTGTTTGAGGATCCAAAGAGCGTCGCTCCCTTGTCAGCTCTGGCGCCAGTCACAACAGTAGCCTGTACGAAATCCTGCTTGATTGTTTAGTTGATTGTATTCTAATGTTCAGTTACTGACTGGATTCCCAGAGAAGGGAAGCGGGTTAGGGGGAGACAGAAGGTTAGGTGGGCAGATGAGATTAAGAAGTTTGCAGGTATAAATTGGCAGCAGCAAGCACAGGACCTGGTTAACTGGCGGAACATGGGAGAGGCCTTTGTCCTGCAGTGGACATGGTCAGGCTGATGATGATGATTCTAATGTTCTCTTAATTCTGTTAGCAATTACCTTTTTTAAATACCTTTGTAAATAAGACAAAGAGCAAGCTGATTGGCCTGTAATTCTTGAAGTCTTTGTTGTCCCCTATTTTATGGATTAAGATGATGTTAGCATTCTTCCAAGATTCTGGTACCCTCCTCTTCACTTGACACTTCATAAACAGCAGACACTTTATATGTACATAACTTAGCCTTAAATTGTCCTGTTTCCATCCATGAGTGGTGTACAGTATATTGAACATACACATCCACTTTCATGCTCGTCAGTAAAATTTCAAGCTCGGCCATTCTTTATTGCAAAAGTAGATGTTTTCCATTTGCTTTGAAACACAGCTGCTTTGACTGGGTAGATGGGCAGAGGTAGTCAAGCCGGATTAATGAACTAAAGGAGCATTGCTAGTGAGGCACAAAAACTA